AGTACAGGAGGCGCATGCTAGAACTATTGGACATGTTTTTAGTGGTAGGGGAAACCGGAGTGCCTGGAGAAAACCTACGCAGACACGAGGAGAACATGCAAACTCTACTCAGAAAGCCCCTGTTCCAAACGGGATTCGAACCCAGGACCTTTTTGCTGAGAGGCGAGAGTGCTATCCAATCAGACACCACAAATGATTAAAAATGTCTACATGATATTTCTGTAGCTGTGTGATAAAACAACTGTTTTAAGATCTTAAAACAAACACTGTTTATTCTCTCAGTGTGCAAAAGGCAAGAAGCTCCTGAATCCTCACTAGTAACGGTATTTCAGTCATAATTGTCCTTGTATTTACCGTTGCAATCAATGCGATACAGTCTCTGTTTATCTCACCTGTTCACTGTTTACATCGGGTGTGAAGGAGCCGTCACACTGCGTAATTACTTTAGAGGTTACACAAATAACAGGTGGAGAGACGACCTTTGCTCAATATTTATTTATGCCGCAAATTTAATCCGTCCCTGTCTGGCCTTTTGTGGAAACAAATGAGAGGAAAGTGTTGAAGTATTAAAAGGAGGAGGTGACGGGCTAAACAAGGGGAGTGGGAGGATTAGTGCGGCGTTAGTGACGGATGCTTTAATGTGTGTGCGGACAGAGAAAAGGCAAACGGCAAAAGTCATGTTGGGGATTAATGATGTTTGGGTTGGCTCTTTACTTTTGGACATTACCTCAGATACTTTGACAACTCGCCGCAGCAATGTTTACACTCTGAAAAAAAGTGCACTTTTGTTCTAACCTTGTATAACAGCGGGCATTTTCCATTGGCTTAAATACAGTGTAACATCATATGTTATGCAACATATGTTGCATTTATTTTATTCTATGACCTTTGATTTTTCATGAGTCTGTTCACGTTGAACATGAAGGAAAAAAACATCTAATTGACTGCCAAATATTTGTTAGATCAGTGTTTTTCAACCAGTGTGCCATGGCCAGACAGTGGGCCTTCAGATTTGGAAATGTTCTAATATTACCTAAATGATAAAAAAAAATACATACAAATTGGAAAAAGAAATTATGTGAAAAGCTTTTATGTTTTTTTTGTTTCTGTGCGTGTTTGGTTATTCAAAACACTTTGATGACAATGACATTGCATCGTTAATTAAGGTTAAAAAAAAAGTTTCATTTTGTGACATATCTAGCTGGTGGTGTGTAGCGTTATTTATTTCAATGGAAAAAGTGTGACTCAAAAAGGTTGGGGGACACTGGGTTGGATTAACCAACGTATGGGTTGATTTAACCTGTGAGCCAATTAATCTGTCTCTTTTTAACAAATAAATATGGCCGTACATCTTTAATAGTTTTATTTGAAAGACATTCTCTTTCCCGTAAGCCTAGTCCCATATCTTCTAATGTCACCATGCCCGGAGATGCAACTCATTCATTTATTCATTCATTAATTTTCTTCCCATTAATCCATTTCTGGGTCGGGATGGTGGCAGTCAGAGCTGCACCCAGTTCACAAAGCACCAGCCCCTCACTGATCCTCCTGCAGGTGAATCAGAATCAGAATCAGAATCAGAATCATTTTTATTGCCACGTAAGTAACAGGAGGTCACAGACTTGGAAATTGCTTTGGCTCAGTGCAACAGTCAGAAAGAGATAATAAAAATAAGAGCTGAGTCCACAGGAGCCTTGATTTTTAAGGGGGGGCTTCAGGCAAAGTGGGGTTAAGTAACAACAGCCGAAATCAGTGGGAGATTTAATGCTCTTGTATTGCTTGTAATCACACCTTCTCCTAATGCAAAAAAATACTGCTACTTTTCTTAAAACTTTAAAATGTATTTGTATTTGACAAACTGCAAGACAGTCTCAAAGACAGATGGCTTTTCTCACCCAAAATTATTCAGAGTATAACAAATTGCTTCTCAATTTGAATGACACATTGTATTTCTCATATTTTTTTCAAACTTATAATAATGAATGAATCTTCAAACAGTTCTGTGAGGGAAATCAGCTGAAAACTAAAACCAGTGCAGTACAATTGTTGCTTTTATGGATCCACGCTGTGACTTCCCAACACTGGAACAGCCCAATTTGTCACCATATATCTCTCAAATCTTTGCCTCAAAACATTGTTCTTCTTCCCCACTGCTGCTGCTGGCCTAATTCACATCCTCTCATCAGCTTATCTCCTTCTCCTCCCATCTCCTAAAGTGCTAACGCCGAACTCATTTGCAATTCTCCGCGGCACGGCAAATTGATGTGTTCTCTCGGCACAAGGTAACAGAATTATTGGAGACTGATTTGGGTGACGAAGAGGAGGGGGAGATGGAGGTCTTGATATTTTGATCTGAATCTGTGGATTTATCTTGATTATATTTTTCATGTGGCAGCCTGTCACCTCCACAGATATGTGAGCTGACTTCTTGACAAATTGTGGGTGAGATTTGCACCTTCTATCTGGGAACGAGCAGGGATAAGGAGAGCTAGAGGGCATCATGTGTGCTATAGCTTTAAATAAGATCATTAGAGAAGGTGATGTTGATTGGTGTTAAGCAGGTCTAATAAAGAATTAATTTTAGACGTACCAAAACCATCAGGTTTTCTTCTATGCCAAACAATATAGAAATATTTTTCTTATCGACTTAATACTTAAAGATGCAGTCAGTGATTTTTTCCATGAGCATTTTTTTTTTTTATACTGTGGGAAAACGTCGCTAAACCCTAAAAGTAGTCAAGTTATCATGTGTCTATATCCAAACATTAATTAAAAATAGTTTGGAGCGGACCGATGAAAATAAACCGATGGGATGCGTTTACCCGCACCTAAATTATCAGATTATTTTCTAAAACCTAAAATGACTGAACAGAAAATGCCAATTTCAAGTTTGCTCCACTCTCCCTGTTGTGACAAAGAAAAGAAAATGCTGGATGTTTGGTTTGGTGGAGAGGGAGGGGGGGGGAGTGGTTTCCCAAAAAGTCAATCAAAAGTTCATGTGACAAAATCAACCACTATTTGTCCTTTAGACGTCTGACATTTGAGATCAGAGATTTGGAGACTTTTATTGTTCTATGTTGTCTGTTTATAGTGTGTTGTGTCTTGTCTTTTTATTGTTCTGGACTGTCTGTAATAAAGCTGTCCATCCTTAGCTTTCATTTGACATGTTTGAAAAATTCCTCTCGATTTTACAAACCTACTTTGTGTTGTTTTCACACACAGCACTCAGAAAATGAAAATGATTCTGGGTCATTTGTGTGGCCTTCACCAAGGAGTAAGTAAGTAAGTAAGTATCTTTATAATAATCTTTATGGAGGGACTTGAGGGCCGGTCATCATTTTTGAGGTTCGGCACAGATACATCACATTGTATTTTTTTGCTAAATTAGTAAGAACGGCACAAGGACCGATATATCTTCCTGATCTGTTAGACATCCAGTACCAACAGCAGATAAGAGACACATTATATGCATCACCGCTGACGACGGCGGATGCTTCTCGACAAAAAACACAGCCGATTAAGAGCTAACCACAATTATTATGTTTCTGTTTCACAAAAACGTAATAAATGATCTCTATATAAAATGTGTTGCTTCTACAGTAGGCTTTTAAAGGCTGCGTTTTATGGCAGTGGGATCTTCTGTCGATCATTGACATTTCCTGGTTCAGTCTCAGAAACATATGTCTCAGAAACCTATATGTGGTTATTTGGTAGATTTTTCCTCAATAAATGAGCAGGAGGTTTGGTGTGACTCTGGGTCATGTGCAGTGGGTCGGCTGGAGCACCTCGTGAAACTCAGAGATCGGAATATGCTGCAGGTCACTCTTTAAATTTGAACTTGACATTTAATAACTGCTGGAGAGCTGCTGTTTACAGGCAGCATCATTCTCCGGAGACGCATCCACTTTACTGGCCATCTTTTTATTAACAGGGGCTCGGACGATAATGGCTGATTCCATTGTCATTGTTTAAATACAGATACTTTACAAAAAAACACAAATGTTTGTCATTTTTAATTAGATCAAACCTAAACAATTCAGCCATTTTTAGACAAATAAATACATTTAAAATAGATTTACAGGGATGGGTTTCTGGGGTGTTTTTACTGCAGATGGGGCAGGACGACTGATCTGTGTCAAAGAATGGATGAATGGGACCATGTATTGTAGGATTTTGGGCAAAAAAAAAAAAACATCTTCCATCAGTGTCAACAGTGGTCTTCCAACATTACAATGATCCAAAACACAGAGCCTGGGCCACGTCTTCAGACCTCAACCCAATAGAACTTCTTTGGAGGGATTTTAAAATCTGTGTTGCCCAGAAAGAGCCCTAAACCATCACAGCGTTTGGGAAGAATGGGCCAAAATACCAACTACAATTTATGAGAATCTGGTGAAGAGAAACATTCAACCACTGTCATTGTCAACAAAGGTTACATTACAAAATATGTGTGGAATATATGGATATACAAATAATAACACCTATAATAAACATGTATTTTGTTTAAGTGGCAAAACTGGCCCAATCGACTACTACCACACACTTATTTGCCTCTATAAAGTTGAGCCAATGTATTGCAAAGTAAAGAAATACACCAATACCACACAACACTACACCAATACACTAGTACAAATAAAAATATTGTTTTAAAGTTGGACAAAAGTAATAGCTTCTTCTTGATTCTTCTCCCCAAGTGGAAGTGATAATGTTCTTTGTGAATGATATATTTTTTTTAAGGATGTGTGAGAAATGGAGTAATAGGTGTAAATTAGAAAAATAAAAATAAAAAATTAAGACAGGCTGGAAACAAAACAGGTTTACAGGTGAATTCTTCATATTTACTAATGTGTATGTGGCAGTTAGACATCTTTTTGACACTTAACCTCCTTATGTACCAACAATGACAACATATATTTGTTAATGGTGTGTATTTGAGCAGTGCTTGATGAATCTCTACTTGGAACAGACCAAGAGATGAATTGAACTTTGAACTTTGAATCTCACTCACATATTAGTTGTTCTGTTTCTCCCTTACAGACGTAGTCCTTTGTCTTGTTGAACAGATGCATCAGTGGTGTGGCCTCTCGACTGGAGTGTGCAGAGCCAAATACAGACAGGTTGTTGTGCCTGGACGGGGTGTATCCGGTGAAGGTGCTCCTGCTGCGAAGGCATCTGTCTGGATATCGTCCCTCAGGTAATAACAGTAACACCTCCATCCCCGCTGTGAGAGCTGGGGGGAGGCAGAGAGACAGAGAGGGAGAGCGGGGGAGAGGCAGAGAGGGAGAGCGGAGGAGAGGCAGAGAGACAGAGAGGGAGGGCGGAGGAGAGGCAGAGAGACCGAGAGGGAGAGCGGAGGAGAGGAAGAGAGACTGAGAGGGAGGGCGGAGGAGAGGCAGAGAGACTGAGAGGGAGGGCGGAGGAGAGGAAGAGAGACTGAGAGGGAGAGCGGAGGAGAGGCAGAGAGACTGAGAGGGAGAGCGGGGGAGAGGCAGAGAGACTGAGAGGGAGAGTGGAGGAGAGGCAGAGAGGGAGAGCGGGGGAGAGGCAGAGAGACTGAGAGGGAGAGCGGAGGAGAGGAAGAGAGACTGAGAGGGAGGGCGGAGGAGAGGCAGAGAGACTGAGAGGGAGAGCGGGGGAGAGGAAGAGAGACTGAGAGGGAGGGCGGAGGAGAGGCAGAGAGACTGAGAGGGAGGGCGGAGGAGAGGCAGAGAGACTGAGAGGGAGAGCGGAGGAGAGGCAGAGAGACTGAGAGGGAGAGCGGGGGAGAGGCAGAGAGACTGAGAGGGAGAGCGGAGGAGAGGAAGAGAGACTGAGAGGGAGGGCGGAGGAGAGGCAGAGAGACTGAGAGGGAGAGCGGAGGAGAGGAAGAGAGACTGAGAGGGAGGGCGGAGGAGAGGCAGAGAGACTGAGAGGGAGGGCGGAGGAGAGGCAGAGAGACTGAGAGGGAGAGCGGAGGAGAGGAAGAGAGACTGAGAGGGAGAGCGAAGGAGAGGCAGAGAGACTGAGAGGGAGAGCGAAGGAGAGGAAGAGAGACTGAGAGCGGAGGAGAGGGAGAGAGACTGAGACTTCCGCCTCCGTCGAGCAAAGACGTGTCTCAGACCGCTCCTGCTTCTGACTGCTTGCTATCTCCTGTTTTTGTCTTTTTCCTGGAGTTTTGCCACAGACAACTTTAACAAGAATGGAAATGATTAACTGGTCCCTCAACGCAATTGATTCTATCTTTTCAACACGTAAGCGTGGGTCTGGAGAGCCCGTGTGCCCGGACGGGACTTCACCAGCGGGGTATACTCTTGACAGCTGGAACAAGTTTCAGCCCCTCTGTCTGTCGACCCTGTCCATTGAAGATTCGGAAGACGTATATATCTTTGGCATTTTGGTGGTGGGGATCCTCCTGTTTGGGTTTTGAGCGATCCTCTTCTACCACAAATTCGGAGGCATGGCAGTTCGCAAGATTCACGACCTGCTGGCCGACAAAATTGATGGGATGTACAAGGAGCTTAGCCGCGTCGTGGTTGAGAGTGCCGTGTCTGGACAAAGGAGAGTGGTGTTTGTGGAACAGTTGATCAAAGATCTCGCAGCTCGTTCACTCGAAGGGAATAAAACTCTGGAGTTGAGATTGAATGACATCGTTTGCCAGGCTTGAACTCTCTGACCCGGCTTGGATTTGCCCCTGTGTACGGGGTCTGAGGGCGCCGCAATTCGGTTTAATTGGATTTAATAGAATATCGGCCTGCTTTTAACTGCTACATTGCATTTAATATTGTCCCCCTGAGGCGATGTGTTTTCTACTCCTGTGCCTTCTCTCCACTCTTATCTCACATTCCTCGGCCAAGGCCATAATACCAAAAGTCCCAATCTACAACAACTCACACTATTCAGTCTCCAGCTTGGATCCCCTACCCCCGCCTCCCTCTACCTATCCATCTTGCTCCCTCCCTCCCCTCCACTCCTCACTGTGTTTCCGACTCACCCCCCTCCCTGACCCCGCCCCCCTCTGACAGCCACATTGGCCGGCTGTCGGAGGTGCTCATCCCGAGAAAAAATCCGTGCTTTATACAAAGCACAATGTGTCTATCCAACTGTCTGTGAAACTGTATGTTATTGCTCTCTGCTGTTTATTCTACTGTTTGTCGCATGGCGCCGTAAAGATGGCGCCGTGGCAAGAGCTCTGGTGTGTGTCGTCTTCTCTGTCTGGTGCACACCGGGGTAGTCTTGCACAGTTTTTCCAATGTGGTTTTACTGCAAATGGCAAATAAATGAATCGGAATCTGAATCTGAAAGTGGAGGAGAGGCAGAGAGACTGAGAGGGAGAGCGGAGGAGATGCAGAGAGACAGAGAGGGAGAGCGGGGGGGAGGCAGAGAGACTGAGAGGGAGAGCGGAGGAGAGGAAGAGAGACTGAGAGGGAGAGCGAAGGAGAGGAAGAGAGACTGAGAGCGGAGGAGAGGAAGAGAGACTGAGAGGGAGAGCGAAGGAGAGGCAGAGAGACAGAGAGGGAGAGTGGAGGAGAGGCAGAGAGACTGAGAGGGAGAGCGGAGGAGAGGAAGAGAGACTGAGAGGGAGAGCGAAGGAGAGGAAGAGAGACTGAGAGGGAGAGCGGAGGAGAGGCAGAGACACTGAGAGGGAGAGCGGGGGGGAGGCAGAGACACTGAGAGGGAGAGCGGGGGGGAGGCAGAGAGACTGAGAGGGAGAGCGGAGGAGAGGCAGAGACACTGAGAGGGAGAGCGGGGGGGAGGCAGAAAGCCAGTGGTGGGCTACACTGGTGCAGACAGGCTGTGGTTACACTATGCACGCGGCTTAGGGGGTCTACATAACCTCTCATTAGGAGAAGAGTGGACCCTACCGCCCAAATGCACACTGGGCCTAATCTAATTTGACAATGAGTCCATTCACCTTCAGATTATCTTTCCGGGGTCACAAAAACAGAGTCGCACATCGGGATGTTGGGTCATAGCGCTATTGAGTCTGAAAAAATATCACCTTTTTAAACGCTCGAGTTAATTTTTTCCGCACAAATAGCACATTTCGTTTGTTCTAACAGAAACAGACTGATGGATCTTATTGAAAACACTTTAGCTTTGGTTTACTGGTTAGAAAGAGCTCAGAGCGTCACAGTTTGGCACGTTGGGCTATTTGATTGGCAGATGTCTCAGAGGCCAAAAAATACAGGCATGGGAAAAATATCTACAAGACACAGTTCTATGGATTTTATAACATACTGTCGTTCATGGCTTTATGAACGTTGTAGCTTTGAAGAGCCATCGTACACTTGGAAAACTCTCGATCAAAAAATAAATAATAATTATCTCACTGCAAAACACAAATTTGGCCCCGCAACCAAAAAAACATAAGCAGCAGATTTTATTATCATTTTTATTATTTTTTTTTACATGACTGACCCTTCACTCTCTACAACACCTGAAAAACCCCCCCACATAATTACTCAAAAATGTCTCAATAACATCAATCTATCACAATGCAACGTTGAAAGAGTTAATGACGGGGGAAAACACAATATGGATAAGAGCTCATTAAAGTAAAGTATATTCATTTATCACTTTTAAAGTAAAAAAAAAAAAAAGAGAGAGAAAAGTCTTTGCTGTCTGATAGTTTCCCTAAACATATAGCTGATGCGATGTGGCCATACAGAGGCAGATATATGAGTGCGGTGCATAGTGCTGGAGGGAGCAGACTTTGGCAGTAATTGCATCATCCATTATAAGTGCTAAACGCTCCGGAGGCCCCCGCTGATGTGAAGCATTAACCTGGCAGTGCTGGACCAAGGTGAACATCACAGTGCGGGACACAAGTCATACAGACCATCACTGGGCCAACGAGACAACAGGGCATCGGGCCATCAGGGGCAGGGCCTGAAGGGGGCAGGGCTGGGCTGGGGCAGGACAGGGCTGGGGTACACCAACCCGGAGATGAGGGGAGTCCCTGCTGTGTTCAAGATGTGAAAATGTGTCTGAAAATAGCTGTCAAACAAATACACATTTCATTACATACAGTAAAACTACTAAAATATAATACTGTTAAAAAGTATTTTTACTTCTAGAATTCAACTTCAAATGTGAAACTAATGTATAATACTAGTTTTTTATTTAATTTTTATGCCACGCCTAGATATTTCACGACCAGCACCAACAAACTGTGGTGCTCTCCTCCGGACCATGGTCGCCTCCTCTTCAGGTCTTCTCGGCCCCTTCGGTGGGGCAGGGGCCACGGCGTTGTTACCGTCACCTTCACCGTTTCCCGTGGATGGGAGGGCGGAAATACCAATTTATTTCAGGGGCCACCAACCTTGCAAACCAGATTAATGAAATCCAAAGCCTTTAACCCCTAACCAAGTTTTAGGTCGGAAAATTTAAACTGTTTTTAGTAAAGAAGTTTTTCAATGTATTTTTTCAACAATAAAATGGAAATAAATGGAAAATGGAAATAAAATAAGGTCTCACGTCAGAAACAAAAAAAGAATGAGCGGAAGGTACAAAGACCAAAAAACATTAGTGTTTTCCGAGTTTCCCTTCTCTACTAATGAGTTGGTAGTACAATGTTTGAGCGGTCCTCTCAGTGGTCCTCTCAGTGGTCCTCTCAGTGGTCCTCTCAGTGGTCCTCTCAGTGGTCCTCTCAGTGGCTGTGTCTCCACTGCAGAGTAGGACCCCTCTGTGACGTCATGAGTTTCAATTGCCGCATAAGCAAAACTCATTAGGCCGGTCTTTGATTTTTTTAAAGTCCTGCTTCAGTTTTTTAAAACTTTTCACAGCATTGTTTCTGAGTGTGGTGAATCCCCAGTGCTTCAAGGTGAAGCTGGTATGTCTCAATACAGCTTTTCATTTCCCTGCAATCCCTCAAACCACCTCTGAATCAATGTCTTCATCTCATCATCCGTCCATTCATTGTACATCTTGCTGTTGTTGTTTGCTGTTTCCAGTGGTGTCTGCTAGGCTAATGCTACTAGACTAATTCTGCTGGATTTAGAAATTGCCTAATGTTTTGGTGCTTTCTGCTGGTGATAGAGCCTGCTCCAGCTTTAGGCAATCAGCGCTGGGTAAACCAAGCTCCACCAGGAGCTGTTCAAGGCTTAACAGAGTACCTAGCATGGCGGGGGACTCTGTTGGGCCCCGTAAAAATTCCTGTAAATGGCCCTGTGGGGAAGTTCCCGCACTGGAGACACGCACCAACGGGGCTGACCCTGTAAAATTACCCCAAAGTTCCTGTGGTGGAAACGCGACTAATGAGCTTTGCTAAATGAAATGCTATAGCTAAAGTACCAAAACCATCCAAAAGGCAGAAAAGCAGAGTGTGCCTTGATACGTTGGTTAACCCAATATCCTGTGGACCAATGATTGGTTATTGTTGTATGTATGTGTTCTAATTCCATCCATCCATTTTCTTCCCCTTAATCCATTTCTGGGTCAGGGGGGTGGCAGTCAGAGCTGCACCTAATTCACTTAGTACCAGCCCCTCACTGATCTTTCAGCCTTGTTCTTTCAGGCAAAGTGGGGTTAAGTGTCTTGCCCAAGGACACAATGACAGCAGACATCAGTGGGAGTCGTGTAGTAGGTCTTATGGTAAGCTCGAAGCCACGACCTTCAGGCCCAAAGGCCAATGCTCTACCAACTATCACCCCCAGTGTTTTAATTAAATAATAAATACAAAACAATAAATAAACAATAACACATTGATTTGATAATTGTTCTGCATTTGAGACTTCACCTTCCTTATATATTGTCCATTCCAATAAAATGAAAACGATAAAAGAAAAATACAGAAAACAATACAATCAAAAGTCTGATCAATGAGCTATATATAGTAGGCTCACAACTTTAATTTCTGGAATTCCAAAAGCCTTTGCGTGTCTCACTCTGCTGCTCTGGTCCTTTGGTTGCATTAATAAGGCCTCTCTCTCTGCCTGTGTGTGCCACTGTCTGTGCTCTTCAGACTTCAGATCAATAGTGTCTCCAGCCTCGGCACCAGTCGATATGTGTCACCGTGTCTCTGCGCTCATTCAAATGTGTGGGCTGCCCCTGCGCATTTACAGCAATCACACACCGCACCGCAAAGTCAAACAGTCCCCATCGCACTGGATGTGCTCAGACTGGGCTCACAAGTGTTGCCTTTCACCAGTGTGGACCAGGACCAAAACATGTCAATGAGGGTCTGCAAAACCTGTCACAACACGCAATGTCAAAAGGGTATAACTTATTGACATAGAGTTTTAAAGTTTATTCCTGTTCGTTTATGCTGAAATTGTGTTTATTAAAAGAAGGGAGAAATTCATGGTAATTATAGGCAAGAAGCATAGGTTGAATATAATAGTTTTTTTTTTTTTTTTTTTTTTTTTTTAATAATAATAATAATAATAATAATAATAATAATAATAATAATAATAATACATTGTATATATAGTGCATACATTTCCATGCAACCGGAAAAAGCGATACCGTAGATGGAGATTCAATAAAACGAAGATCTGGGGCCTTATCTATGCATTATGTCATTTTTAACACTAGAACTGAGCAGTTTTGGTCAAATTTTGTGTATATCGTTACTTTCAGAAATGAGGCAGAAAAATAACACATAGTTTTTAGTGCTTTTTTGGACACTCAAAAATGCTTTACGTAACATTCTGACAGACTGACCACTATGAGCCATTGGCCCCTCTGACCATAATCATATACACACAGCTAGTATCATGACAGAAAATGTGGGTTTCGTGTCTTGCCTTAGGACACAATGACCGTTTGGCACTTTACAGCCACAGCCGCCCCACTGTGGCACATGGTGTTCCCAGAGGTCTCCCATCACAGTACTAACCTGGCCCTGCCCTGCTTATCTTCCAATCTCTGACAGGATCAGGCTTTCACATGCAGGTGGCACCACAACATTAAAATGTGATCCACAAAAAAAAATACAACAAATTTGAGCTTGAGTTTTTGGCTTGTTTGTAAAGTTTTCTAAATGAGGCACCTGGACATGTTTTTATTCATTTTCAGACCTCTGAGTGCCTGAAACTTATTATAGCTTATTTATTCTTATAATTTTCAGTGCCCTTTCATCAATTCGAGCCACAGAACATTTATCTTCCCAAATCATTCCTTTGATGAGCCATTCAGAACGGCACATTCCTGGCATTTGCCCAATTTCCAGATGGGCAATCCGTCACCGCCGTCCTGAACTAAGTGGCTTAATGCAACACTTGGGATTTGGACGTTCCCTCACGCTGCACCAGGCCACACAAATGTTTGCTTCTCTGCCGTCACTGAAGCTGCTCCTGCGCTGGATAATAAAGGAGACGAAAAAAACTAAAAAAACTAAAAAACATTTCTATCCATCCACCCATACATGTTATTCCGCTTCATCTTATGTTCAGTCGAAACAGAGATACCCAGACTTCCTTATCCACAAAATTAACATTACATCTTAATGCTTTTTAACTATTGTATTGTTTTAACGCATAAAGGTTATAACAGATTTTATGTAATTTTTTGTGTGAAGCACTTTGGTCGCCTTGAGTGTTGTAAAGGGATCTATAAACAAAAATGATTGATTAATCTTCAAAGCTAGTGATTCTTTTTTCTTCTTCTCGGAAACCAGCCTGGAAGTATTTTCTAAAAAATCCCTTTGACATTTTCTGCATTATCAATTAATCCACAGATTACACTGGAAATTGTACAAATTGTTAATACAGTAAAAAATAAATAAATAAATAAAACAAATAAATCAACAAATGAATACAAGTGGACAATGTAAGGTACAAATGTGTTCAACATGTATCAGTATTAATTCTGAAGTTTCCTCAATTTGGTTTTATTTTTTTGTTTGTGAAAATTAAGTGTATTTTATTACTAGTTTTATTTACCGTTTATTATTTTTGTATTGTGCTTATATAAATATCTTTATGTTTTGTTTCCATATATTTCTTTTTTCCTCATCTAGACTAGTGTGTCCGAAGTTAGATGTCCTGCAGAATTGCAACTGTGCATTTATTGATATACAGATTTTTATTTTATTTTACTGGTTTTTCTTGTAAATATCCCACCAGCCTGTGTCTTGTCAGTGATCCATGGGCGTCATGTGACCTGCTCCTTGATTTCACCCTCTCACCTCCGTCTGCGCTCGTCCTCTGCCCACACGCGATGGGACTCAGGGACCAGCACTTCTGTCCACAACACGCCTCAGTCCTGACCCGCCTGCGTGCTTATGTGACGCCAATAATGACATTTCATGGAGAGCCGCTGGAGGATAAGGAAGGAGCT